AACCCCACTACATCGAAGGTGAGGATCTCGGTCCGGTAATTGGACCGATCCCCAAAAGTGATGGGCAGGTCGATCTGCCCCAGTGGTACGTCTTGCCTACCAGGCACGACGCCATGGAATGGTGCTCGGATGGGACGGAGGTTTGTTCGGTCGACGCCCATTTTGTCGAGTGTTTTGGCGTACATGATGTTGAGGCCGCTGCCCCCATCCATCAGTACTTTGGTGAGCCGCTATGGACCGATGATCGGATCGACGACAAGCGGGTACCTTCCCGTGTGGGACGGCCTCCGGATGGTCGGTCCGATCGAAGGTGATGGCGATTCCGACCACCGGAGGAAGGCTGGCGTGGCTGGTCCGGTGGTATAGACCTCGCGACGGGCGACCTTCTGGCGGCGCCTGGAGTCGTAGGCCGTTGATCCTCCGAAGATCATAAGGGCACCGGTTGGCGTTGGGAAGGCATCGTCTTTCTCCTCTGCGTCCTCTGTGGCGGGAATAGGTTCCTTCCCCTGCTCCCCTTTGTTAAGTCCCCCGGCCAAGTATTTGCGCATGAGGCCGCACTCCTTGTATAGATGCTTGGCCGGGAAGGCGTGGTTTGGGCATGGCCCCTAGAGCATTTTCTCGAAGTGGTTCGGAGTGCATTCCGCAGGCTTCCGGCTACCTTTGCGGTCGGCTATGGACATGAGCGGGTTGTCGCGTCGTTGCTTCTTATTTTTTCTCTTGGCGGGACGGTCGGAGGTGCCTTCGTCGGTGGCCTCATCCCGCCTCGCCTTGCCGTCGGTGCGGTCGAAGATGGCTCCGACCGCTTCCTCTCCAGAGGCGTGACTGGTGGCGATGTCCAGGAGTTCCTTGGTAGTCCGTGGGCCCCTGCGTCCTAGCTTGTGGACCAAGGATTCGTAGATCATCCCAGATAGAAAGGCTCCTATCTCGCCGGGCGTCGGCGACGTTCGGAGCTCGTTACCTTCGTCGAGAAGCGCCCGAATGTACCCGCGAAGGGTTTCATTGGCCTTCGGCGGCGATTTTGAGGTCCCATGGGTTTCGTATGTTTATACGTGCCTCGAAGTTACCCATGAAGATCTCCGTCGATCCGCCCAACTCTGAATAGCATTGGGCGGTAGGTGCTCCACCATGCTCACGCCAAATCGGCCAAGAACAATGGGAGATTGCGAATAATGAAGTTGTCATCACTGCACCACCGGCCGACATGCAAGCCAATAGTCTTGAGCCAAAGCCCGAGATTTGTTTCGCTAGAATATTTAGGGATGTTGGTAGGCGGTCGATACCTTAGGGGAACGCAGCGTTGAGGATGTGTCGGGCGGCGAAGGCTGAGGGCTGGCGGCGAGGCTCGAAGCCGGTCCTCGTTCTTGTCGTGAAGCGCTCACCACGTTAGGGGATGATAGCCGCGCGCGTCTTTGCTTCTCCATCGTCGCCAGTGGGCGCGTCTCCGGCGTTGATGATGCTGCGCGTCGCGCTCATGGCCGCGGGCGGCGCTGATGTCTTGGGACGACGGAGGGCTGCCGGCCGATCGGCGGTGTTTTTAGCGTCGGATCGTCCTTGGTGGGGCCTTTGAGGGCGCGCTACCGGCTGGTCTTTGGGTTCGCGTCGTCGAGACAACGAACTTTCCTCCTGCTGCGCCGCCGCGCGCTCAAGCAACGTGCGAATCTCCCTGTGGGCCCGACGATCTTTGGTCGTCGCGGCCTCCGGGAGGCCATGCAGCAAGGCGGTTGCTGCTGCGATGTTCTGGCTGGCTCGGGCAAAGTGAGGAAGGGCCCCATCGTCGGTGAGGATCCTCCGATGTACGGTGCGGGCCATGGTGCGCGCGCACCCCCGTCTTTGCGGTGTTCAATCTCGCGATTGATGTCCGCGTACTCCCGGATGAACCCTTGCCCGGCCTCATCGATCTCCTGCTGACGGGCCTTCAGCTGCTCCATCCTTAGGCGAGATGGGGCTGTCGTCTCTTCCTCGGATCTGCTGTCAGGGTTGTTTGTAGGGGTGACCTCTTCCCTGGAGGCGCTTTCAACGTGACCTTCAGGGGTCTGCGTCATGAATCACTCCCGGGAAGGGTGGTGGCTCCCCCTACTGGAATCCGAGCTAGAGAACGATCCGGCTCCTCGTTGAGGAGCCCGTAAAGGGTCTCCGTATCATGTTCAATCGCCCCCACGAACTCGATGTCTGTGGGTGACTGAACCATCCGTAGCGCTAGGAGGTGGCTAGCGGTCGCCGCAGCGTTGCGGAGACCGAACGGAAACGCTGTCGGGGCACTCCGTACGGGACCTTCTGGACATAGGGTGACGTCGTGCGAGACCTCCCTGGGTGACCGGACTCCCAGGGAGCTGCCCGGCGGGCCCTCAAGCCTAAGACGGCTGAGGTTGATGGAAGGGAGAGATGGGGCCACAGAGTGGGTCAGCGCCAACTCTCCTTCTAGTGTGATGATGAAATCTAGGTCGCCGAAACGCACATGTGCGCCCGGGACCCAGGTCATTGCGTGGGTGGCCATCCGAGGCCTGATTTGGAACGTGCAAGCCCCCTACCTGGTGCGCCAACTGTCGGTGTTTCGTACAAGCGCCGGCAAGTAAATTTATAGTAATGCGCGTTAGGCTCGGATGGTGCGCTAAAGGACACAAGATTTATATTGGTTCGGGCCGAAAGTCCCTACGTCCAGTTTGTTGCTGCTCGTGTTATTAGCACCGTGAACGGTTTGTAGTAAGGGGTACAAACGATCGAGAGAGGGACTGGTCCCAAGTCTCTGATGGAAGGGTTCAAGGGATGTCAAGAGGTTCGACCCAACTTGACTGTGCGTATCTGAGAGTCATCTCGTTCGATCTTTTTCCCCCTCCTCTTATGGAGGAAGCGCATCCCCTTTTATAGATGAAGAGGCTGGCTTTACAAGGGTGAGGGCTTTAGGATGCGTACTCTACTTAGTCTTGTGGCTCACGTCTACCCGGCCTAGTTCTTCATTCTGATGAGTGCGAAGGAAGATAAGCGCCTACAATACTATCGATGTCTCTGTAGAATGTCAGGTTGGTTACAGAATGCTACCCTGCGCAGGGTATGGGCCGCAGTACAATGGTTTTGACTTTTGAGCATCCCCCAGCCTTGCTCCGCACGCCTTCTGGTTCCTATGAGTCTTCGTCGGAGGGACGCGGGGTCGGGGTCTGGAGTAGCGCCGTGGCCAAGGTCTTCTGTCTTGGTGGACCTGAGGGGTCGGGAAGCGGGCGCCGCTCCCTTGAGTCCACCGCGTGGTGACGGAATATCCGTCGTTCGTGGAGATAGCAGATCTTTTTCTGGAGCGTAGTGGTTGTCGTATATCTTCGTCGGGTTCCGTGTCCCAGAGCTGAAGGCGGCGCCTACAACTCTACAGGGTGGAGAGCTCGCACCTGTGACACCTTTCGGACTCTGCGGCGCCTGGAAGGGCCTAAAGCGCCCGTCCTATTATCCCCTGGCAGTACTTTTCCTGCCAGGGTGCAGGGTATGGCTCTTGGAGCCACGGTTGACCTGAACGTCGTGTCTTGCCCTGTCTCTACCATCTTGAAGGAATAGGGAGGGGTGGTCAGGTAAGATGAATCCAATCTTTAGATATGGAGCAGAGTGAGGCTTGTTTCTTGCAGTTGTCAGGCGAAGCGAGACCAATCCCTATCTCTGGCGGCGAGACCGACCTGCTCCTCCGGCTCAAGAGGCGTGAGTCTATCCTCAAATTTCGGGCGAGACCGAGCCCGCTCCTCCCGGGGTGGGCGGAGTCTATCCTCACCCTCGGGCGAGACCGAGCCCGCCCTAAAGGCGTCGGGCGAGACGGAGACTAGCCCTGGGCCCTCGGGCGAGACCGAGCCCACCCAAAAGGCGTCGGGCGAGGTGGAACCAAGCTCCCGTCATTCCCGTGAGGGGTGAAGCAACGCTCTTATGCGTCCAGAAGTTTTTAACGCACGGTGGTTATTGGTTCCACCTTCTGGGGTACCCGGTATTAGGTCCCCGACAATACAATACTTGCAACATAGCTCGAAAACATCTGAAATACTTGAAACATACTATTGCAACATATGTTTTCAGTGTATCATCTGCTTGCTGTTTGAACGAATAGAGGCTCGTCGACGCGGAGCTTGACGCCTGCACGGAGCTCGAAGCCGTGGAGTGACGCGGAGGTCATGGTGTGGAGCTCGTTGGTGACACGGACCTTGGTAGGATTGGGGTCAAGCGGATGGAGCACGGCCATGACAGGAGACGTGAGTCTGGGAGCGAGCTAGCGAGCGGACAACACGGGCACGGACGGCATGGACAAGTGCAGGGTCCGTCCGCACAGACGGACGCTCTACGAGGCCGAAGATAGTATCGTCCTCCAACGCAACGCCGATCGAGCATAACTACATAACGGCGGCAGCTGTATTCAGGCTGCCGCAAGAGGCCACGTTCGCTTTGCAGCAATATGCGGGCCCTAGCAGGAGGTCGCAAGAGTGCATACGGCTTGTACACACACTGAGCGGGCCCGTCCCATTTGCATCTTTAGTGTAGTTCCAGATTACTGCCGGTTAAAACCAATGCCGCCCGACGGGCCATTAACGGCGTCCACGGAGCCACTGGCAGGCACCATAATTTACCATGCTCTGACGTGTCTTGTTTTACTACCTGACTAGGACAAACGGGTTAGCTGCGGTACCACCAGTAGAAAAATAGGATCCAGACTTTCACCCTGTTCTTTATCACCTGCTGGACCAAGGGTCCACGGACGCAGCGGATTCGTGTCTCCGCTCTCCAGAGCCCAAGAGTGCACGTCCAATTTTTCAGTTCACCCGTTTTGCCACGCTGCAGCGCACAAACGCCAAGCTTCCAAGCGGAACAAGCCAGAAGAAAGCACGCGCAAGCGCCAAACGGGCAAACGCCACAGGCGTCCGGCTTGCGTGCGTGTCTATTTACATGTGTAGTCACTACTAGTCAGTCCGCAGCGGCCTCGCAGAACACACCAGCACTCCATTCCACTCTCCCACAGTTAGCTTGTTCTTGTTGCAATTGCAATGGGTCACGAGCAACAACAGCGGAGCAGCCGCTCCGGCGGCGCCGGCCACCTTCTGCTCTTCCCGTTCCTGGCGCAAGGGCACCTCATCCCGTTCCTCAACCTGGCCAAGCGCTTCGAGAGCCTCGGGCAGCGTGGCGGCAGCGGCCAGCGCCGTCTCGATGTCACCATCGTCAGCACGCCTCGCAACGTCCCCAGCCTCCGGCGCGCGCTGCCGGCCGGATCGTCCATCGGCTTCGCCGAGCTGCCGTTCTCGCCGTCAGACCATGGCCTGCCACCCGACACCGAGAACCTCGAAGTCGTCCCCCTCGATGCCTTCCCCACTTTCTTCTACGCCACGGAGCTGCTCCGGACGTCGTTCGACAAGCTCCTGGCTGAGCTCGCGGGGAGAGAAGGCCGCAGGAACGTGTGCGTCCTCGCGGACATGTTCCTGGGCTGGACGGCCGAGAGCGCCCGCGCGCTCGGCGTCCAGCACCGAATGTTCGTCACCTCCGGCGCCTATGCCTCCGCCGTCACCTTCTCTATCTGGCTCCGCCCGCCATCGTTCCCGCGCCCCGCCGGCCCTGACGACGAGCAGGCGCTCCTAGACTTCCCCGACGTGCGCATCCGGTACGCGGAGTTCCTGAACGTGGTCGTCAAGGAGGACTACGCCACCAACCCCATGCTGGCGCACCTATGCCGGATGCTCACCCTCCACTTCCGCCACTCGGGGGGCATCCTCGTCAACACCTCGGAAGAGATAGAGCCGACAGGTCTTCGCCTCATCGGTAAGCTCTCCGGGCTGCCGACTTTCGCCGTCGGTCCAATCATCGGCGGCCGAACAGCTCCGGACGACACCGCGCCGGACCAAGACACGTGCATCAAGTTCTTGGACTCCAAGCCGCAGGCGTCCGTCCTGTATGTGTCGTTCGGGTCGCAGAACTCGATCCCGGCGTCGCAGATGATGGAGCTGGCGCGGGGGCTGGAGGCCAGCGGGCGTCCGTTCATCTGGGTGATGCGTCCACCGGTGGAGTCCGACGGGGCTAAGGAGTTCCGCGCCGAGTGGCTCCCCGACGGCTTCGAGGAGCGCGTTTCGGCGGCGGGGCAGGGCGTGGTGGTGCGCGGGTGGGCGCCGCAGGTGCGCATCCTGGCGCACGCGTCCACGGGCGCGTTCCTGAGCCACTGCGGTTGGAACTCGGTGCTGGAGAGCCTGTGGCACGGCGTGCCTGTGTTGGCATGGCCGCTCATCGCGGACCAGATGTTCGACTCCCGCGTGCTGCTGGAGCTCGGCGTCGGTGTGGAGGTGGCGTCCGGGAGGATGATCGGCGGTCTGGGCAGCAAAGGGTGGGAGTTCGTCAGAGACGTCGTGGAGACGGTGCTCGGGGACGGCGACAAGGCCAGGGACATGCGGCTGAAGGCTACCGTGATGAAGAAGCTGGTGCGCGCGGCTGTCGGAGCCGCAGACGGCGACGGCAATGGCAACATTGGCAAGGGCTCGTCCGTACTCGCCATGGAGCGCCTCCTCGATAGCGCCTTCGACTGATAGAGGCAAATTTGTCGTTCGGAACACAAATAATTGGTACTTACTAAAATTCAGTGCCTCAATTTTAGTTTACTCTCATGTGACCATTATTACATATATTTTATATTAAAATTTTAAATTTAGTTCATTATAATTTCTGTACACGTAATCTGTAATTTTCGGTACAAATCCGTTAGACAAAACCAAGAATCCAAGAAAATATGATTTGTGTTGGAACAAAGATAATTAATAATTATTTTCTATAGAAAGACATAAATAAAATTTAATATGTTATGACACAAAGATAAATAATAATAATAATAATTTTTTATACTAGTTAGTGGTACAAGAGAGCCATCTAAAATCAACTTAAAATTTAGACACCTTGAAGTATTGGAGAAGTGCAAATAAATTTATTTTGCTGAAACTTCACGTTCCAAGCGAAGCTCGTTGTCAGACTATCTCCAACACAGCCGATCCAAACATGAGACCTATTTCACGGGGTCACGCACAGCGAAAGAAAAACGCAACCAAAACTAGCGAACTCCAACCGCGAACGCAAAAAAGAGAGGCCCCGAGCGCTGCCCGCCGAGCACCGGTCGCCTCCACACTAGCCGCCTCCTCGCTCGCCTCCATGCCGGATCTGCTCGGGGAAGGAGGGGAGCACCATTGCCCCCAACCGGATCTGGCCGAGGGAGGAGGGATCCGGCCACACGTCGTCGCATATGCCCCGATCTGCCTCGATCCGCCTCGATCTGCCTCATACGCAGGGGCTGCTCTGCCAGATCATCGGCAGCGGTCGGGGCGTCCCGGAATTCCATAGGATGCGCACCAGCGGCGTCGCCATCTTAGTCCACACCGCTTCGCGTCCATACCGACGGAACTCGCGCTCATGGCCGAGGTCGGCGAAGCTTCGCACACCACACTGGCGTCGGCCCCGGCTGAGCTTCGCCCTCGCTTATGCGGTCGGCGAGCCAGCGCTCACACGCTTGCGGCGGTAGAGCCCGCTGGCGGCGGAGCTCGCGCCCACTTTTCTGCCGCCGCCATCCCTCCCGGCGATGGCGGCCACGCTTTCGGCCTCGGCAGCGCACTTCGCAGACGCCTATCCCCTCCGACAGCGGCAACGTCGTCCATGCCTGGCCTCGTGCTCGCGCTCGCGGCCGCCATCTCCTCCGACAGCGGCGGCCTCGTCCATGCCCGGCTTCCCCTCGCGCTCGCGGCATATGCGACGGCACAGATTTGGGTATGAGGAGAGAGACGGCGTAGTTTTGGGTTCGCTCTCACCTTCGATGTAAAATAGGTACTGCGTTTGTCTATTCTGTTGGAGGGTATTTTTTCTCTGTGAACGATGTATTTTGGTTATGGGTAGCGTGATGCATAGCCTGTTGGAGACCGTCGTCTATTACTTGCAGCTGTATTACGGTGTTTTATTGTACTAGCAGAAGCTTGTGTTCTACGTTATCAGTGTCAGTTCGTCACCTGTTGTCCGTACCATCTTGACAACAAGCAAGGAAGCCGGAAATCACTAGCCGTTATGCCTAGTGTGACTGCGAGTTTTGGTCCGTGCCTTGGCATCGTCGTCACTAGCGAATAGTATATGATGAGTCCAATCCAACATGTAACATGTTGCAGTACGGTCAAAATTCATCACAAAATTACAGTTGTAGCACTGGTAGTACACCGTACGTGCCCCGTTTGCGTGTCTAAGCCGGCTTGACGCACTTTTTTTTTTAATTAGAACAATGTTTTTCTCTTACATATTTTTTTAGAATTTCTTCGAATCATCCAAATTTTTCTTCAGAACCATACCATCCAAACAGGACAACAATTGACCTCTGGCTTGCTCGGAGAGGAGGACATGACATGGATTACTGAGGGCTGTTTGGTTCTACATGACCTTCTAAAATTCCTGTCATTAGACATATACATGGAGTATTAAATATAGACTACTTATGAAACTAATTACACAACTTGCGATTAATTTGCGAGACGAATCTTTTAAGCCTAATTAGTCCATGATTTGACAACGTAGTGTTACAGTAAACATGTGCTAATGACAGATTAATTAGGCTTAAAAAATTCATCTCACAAATTAGTCTATATCTATGTAATTGATTTTGTAATTAATCTATATTTAATTCTTCTTATTAATATCTAAATATTCAATGTGACATAAATTTTAGAAGCCACTCAAGAACCACACCCTGAGCGCATTAAACTACTGAAGTCGCGATGCGTACTCCGCACACTGCGCCAGTGCGGTGTCGGTGTGTGGCCTGTCACTGTGGTTCGCCGGCAGCTGGCAGTTATTGACAGCGTGTTTAGTTTCACCTTAACTTCTAAAAAGTTGCTACAGTACTTGTCACATCGAATGTTTGCGATTCATACATGGAGCAATAAATATAGACGAAAAGATAAACTAATTGCACAGTTTGGTGAAAAATTAAGAGACGAACGTTTTGAGCCTAATTAGTCCATATTTAAATACTATTTGTCAAATAAAAACGAACATGCTACAGTACCCCAAAATCTAAATTCCTACAACTAAACAAGGGCTGAGACAAAGTAGGAAATTCGTACGCACACGAACAAACCTAAAGCTACAACAAGGGCTGAGAACGATCGGTAGGAGAGGTCGTACACACAAACTACCAAGAAGAAATAATCCACGCCATCAACCTGCACCTCACATGCGAGGCCTCGTATCGTATCATCACTGAATACGATTGTACGGCGTAGCTGCCTACCGATTTCTGGAGTGCGTGTGCGACCCTCTATTGGCTTGTGCGTTGCCAAGCACAAAATTTGTATAAAATAGTATAATTAAGAACACTTGTTGGATGTTTTTCCACACCAAACAAATTAAATCTTAGTGAAGTAAAACTCTTGTGCATGATGAATTAAAGTTAAACTATAGTATCCAATCATAATCTGCTTATCAAGTCTTCTTAATACATGATTTAAGAAAAAAATTTATGTGCCTTTAGTAACGCATGATACCTAATTTAAGCTAAAGGTAGGATCCTAAAAAAACCCCGGCAAAATCACCAGGGAAACCCCTAATATTGAACAACATGTTACTGCAACGAAATGATGTCACTCTCAATAGTTGTTCAAGCTCTTACATAGCCCACCGAGAACGAAAACGAACGCGAAGCTCACTCTATGCTTTCAACACTTGCGCTCTCAGAGTCTAAAGTGCCTCGCTGCAGGCTTTCGCAGCAGCAGCAAAGTTGCACATCTTGTTCAGGGCACTCAGGTAAGCTCCGACGCTGGACACAAGGATGTCCAATGCTCCCCCGCTCCCGGTGGAGTCAACAAACACTTTATCGGGTAATAATCCTTAAACTGGTATTTTTACATGATAGTGAAAATACAGGTGTTATACATAGCAGTTATTGTCTACTCAAATCCGCACCACCCAAAGTAACACACTATTTCAGAAGATACCCAATTTTTCAATATAATATCTTTCTCATGCCACATTGCATGACACCACAACATTGAACTGGCCCGTGGAACCTTTCCAAGTTGCTCGACTGACACATTCATTTCTTTCTAAGCTGCTAAAATAAGGTACTCTAACCAAAAAAACATAAAAAGGATTCATTGGTCTGTTCGCTTGTTGGTTTCTGGATTAATAAGTCTGTCTGGTGCTGGTTTGTTGTGAGAGAAAAACGCTGTTGGTTGGCTGATAAGGCCTAACTGAAACCAACAAACGAACATGCTGAATATTCCATCTTGTTAGAGACTGTATACCAATGTAAGAAAGATCAACAGCCTGTTCGTTTCGTCGTAAATGATCGTGGATTATTTACTGCTGGCTGGTTTGGTATGAGAGAAAAATACTGTTGGGTACCATAAAAAGGGGTACCCTAAGCAAAGACCGAAAAAATTGCTTAGACTTGTAAATATCGAAGCCAAAGTACAACCGCAGGCAAACCCCCATTTCATCCGAGGCCCGGCTGGATCGCCCGGCCCACCTCGAACAACATCTAGGCACGACCGAAGCAGGCTCGGCCTAAAACCATACCACGAGGCCTCGGATGAGCCACCGATTCTCCGACTCGCCCGAGGCCTAGGCCCCGCGCTACGAGGCCTTGGACGAGCACCCAGTTACCGACTCGCTCGAGGCCGGCTCGGCATCAACCCCGTCACCGCCGCTTTGACCGACTTCTCTGACGGGACGTTACATCCAACTAAAGCGTTAACCACTCCCACAACGTCAGCCGCACGACGGCATGGTACAACGGAGTGGCCGACGAGACGGAAGTCACATCAACGCCCTGCCATCCGGGACAGGACGGGGCGGGGGTTATCGGCATTGTGTTTCGACACGGTGCCTGGTGACGCCTGCGGCTACTGTTGTCTTTGCCTAACCCCTGCTCCAAGGACAGCGTGGAGTGGAAAGTCATGCCCGGGTCCCTGTAGCCTCGGAATCGACGTACAAGGCCAACTGCTCTCTCCGAGCCTCGGCTAACCACTCCCGGGTTCTTGTAGCCTCGGGGCTTGCGCCCGCCGAGCCCCCACAATGGTTCAGCCTCTGCACCGACTGAGCCTCGGCTCTCTACGACGACGACGCGCCGGGACCGGCACGTCGCCCGCAGTACGCGCCACGCCCTGCGTCAGGCTGCAGGAACTCCCACGTCGTACATAGGGCCTAGCTCCTGTAGCCTCGGAATCAGCGTACCCGCGCTGTCGCATCAACCCGGCCTCGGCTCTCCGCGCCGGTCAAACCTACAGTGACCAGCACGTCTCCAACAGAGGAAGGCGTGCCTGCCGGGCCACCACAGGAGCTCCCACGTCGCACAGATCGGGGCGTGACCGGCGCGTCGCTCCAGTGCACCGAGGACAAGACCGCTCCACCGACCATACCGCTACAGTGACAAGCTGCAGGGCTCGGACATGCCGCCTCTGCCAAAAAAAGAACGCCACGTAGCAAATACATGTACTGCCCATGTGCCTCCCTTCGACTATAAAAGGAAGTGACCAGGGCCGCACCTAGGCATGATCACACACCC